TCCCACCTTCACTGCCGCTTCTTTGCTTTCAATATGCTCACATCACGCGTCTTTAGGCCATTAAATACATTGCCCGATTGCGACTCCTCGAACACGGCCTACTCGAAGCCTCCGAAGCCGTCGCCGGCCTGACCTTGCAAGCCTCGAAGAAAAAGTCCGTCGACATGGACATGGACACGGACGAGCCAGACGAGCCCGTAGAAGCCTTCGCAGCACGCATCCAAGCCTTCGTCCAAGTCTCTCTCTACAAGGCTCAGACTCAGTCCGGCTCCACGCGCGACAGCTATAAGGACTCGCTTGTCTACCAGGCACGCAAGGACCTCATTACGGAGTTCATGAAGGAGAGCCTCGTCAAGAAGTGCAACAACCCGGTCTGTGGCGCATATGGATACACGTTCAGGAAGGAGGGACACACGAAGATCGTGGAGTACGATCTCAGCGCGAAGCAGAAGGGTCTGCACGAGACGATGGGCTTGGTACGGCCAAGGGTGCTTCAACGGTCAAGACTCGACTTTGCCTCATCCAAACGCGCGGCCAAGCGCCAACGGGCGGAGGAACGGTCAGATGAAGAGGATAGTGAGGAGGATGAGCCAATGGGCGACGCGACGTTTTCGGACGAAGACGATGCTGCCCCGGAGAACTTGCACAAGACGGATGGCGCGCCGCGCGCGGTCAGCGGTGCGACGAAGACCTCCCGCGGGCGCAACGAGCGCGTCATGCCCGCCGACGAGTGCCGCGAACATCTACGCAGGCTATTCACCAACGAGCGCGAGATTGTGTCGCTCATCTTCGGTCGACACGGTCCTCTGGCACCCGTGAACGCTAAGGAGAACCTGAGCGTCGCGAGCGCGGACATGTTCTTCATGGACGTCGTCTGCGTTCCTCCCACGCGTTTCCGCCCTCCCGCGAAGATGGGCGAAACCATCTTCGAGCATCCGCAGAACGAGCTGTTGACGCGCATCATCAACACGACGTATCGGTTAAGGGACGTGAATCAAGAGCTGGCAAGGGCGGAGGTGAAGGGAGCGGGGTACGACAAGGAGGAAAGGGATAGGTGTTTGGCGAGGCTGATCGAAGCGCTGCAGCAGCTGCAGATCGACGTGAACAGCTTCGTGGATAGTGGGAAGAACCCGCAACCAGTGAGGCAGGGCAAGCTGCCGCCTCCGGGTATCAAGCAGGGGTTGGAGAAGAAGGAGGGACTGTTCAGGAAGAACATGATGGTACGCCCGATGTTCTGTCATAGTGAATCCATCTCAGACGCTGATTTGTTGGGATGTAGGGCAAGCGAGTGAACTACGCTGCACGCTCGGTCATCTCGCCCGACGTCAACATCGAACCGAATGAGATCGGTGTCCCGCCCGTTTTCGCGAGGAAGCTCACCTTCCCCGAACCGGTCACGGCCGCCAACTTTCACGAGATGCGGCAACTTGTCATCAACGGTCCCAAGATCTACCCTGGCGCGTCGATCGTCGAGAACGAGGACGGCTCGCAGATCTACCTCGTACGTATCGTACACATATTCACCTAGGAGCGACATAATGACGATATATGTATAGGACAAGCTCACGACGGAGCAGCGCACGGCTATTGCGAACCAACTCATGACACCTCAAGAATCTGGCTCCTCCACCTCCCGCCTCTCTTTCGCCACGCGCACGCCCAGCCTTAACAAGAAAGTCTACCGCCACCTGCGCGACGGCGACATGCTCATCCTGAATCGTCAACCCACGCTTCACAAACCGTCTATGATGGCCCATCGCGCAAGGGTTCTGCAAGGCGAGAAGACGATCCGGATGCACTACGCGAACTGCAACTCTTACAACGCCGATTTCGACGGTGACGAGATGAACATTCATTTCCCGCAGAACGAGGTTGCACGCGCGGAGGCGATGTTGATCGCCAACACGGACAACCAGTACCTTGTCCCAACGAGCGGTAAACCATTGCGCGGCTTGATCCAGGATCACGTCGTCGCCGGTGTGTGGATGACGAATAAGGATACGTTCTTCACGAGGGAACAGTACTTCCAGTTGCTATATGGGAGTCTGAGGCCGGAAGAGGAGGCGCATGAGACGGGACGGTTGGAGACACTGCCGCCGACGATTTGGAAGCCGCGGCCGCTGTGGACCGGCAAGCAGATCGTGCGTAGCCTTTCGCCATCACCACACGCATGATGTTGATGCCTTTCGCAGATTTCGACCATCCTGCTTAACATCACGCCCGGACATATGGAGGGCCTGAACCTACACGGGAAGGCTAAAGTTCCCGCGGGCGTTTGGGGCAAATGGGACGAGAAGCTGCCGACCGAAGCCGACGTCATATTCCAAGACGGCGAACTCCTATGCGGTGTACTCGACAAGTCCGCGTTCGGCGCGACGGACTACGGTCTCGTACATTCGGTCTACGAGCTTTACGGCTCGGACACCGCCGGGCGCTTACTCGGCATTCTCTCACGCTTGTTCACCAAGTTCCTCCAGATGCGCGCGTTCACGTGTAGGATGGACGATCTGACGCTCACGCCGAGCGGGAATGCGAGGAGGGAGGAGATCATCGCTGCGCATGAGGGATTGGGTACTGAGGGCGCTATCGAAAACTTCCCTTCGCTTGCGGGTACGCCTGTGGAGGAGCGCCAGGAACAGCTCGAGCGTCTATTGCGCGATGTGTTGAGGGACGACGAGAAGATGGCCGGGCTCGATATGACTGTCAAGACAAAGCTCGCCGCCCTGACGAAGAAGATCGCCGACGCTGTCATGCCCCACGGTCTTTCGCGCCAGTTCCCGCACAACCACATGCAAGCCATGACCCAGTCTGGCGCGAAAGGTTCGGCCGTCAACGCTCAACAAATCTCGTGCGCTCTCGGACAGCAGGAGCTCGAAGGTCGTCGCGTGCCCGTGATGATCTCCGGCAAAACGCTGCCGTCCTTCAAAGCGTTCGAGACCAAGGCGATTGCGGGTGGATACGTCGCTAGTCGGTTCTTGACGGGCGTCAAACCTCAAGAGTTCTTCTTCCATTGTATGGCGGGTCGTGAGGGTCTTATCGATACGGCCGTCAAGACTTCACGTTCGGGATATCTCCAGCGTAGTCTGATCAAGCACCTCGAGGGTCTGCGCGTGCACTACGACAACACCGTGCGTGGCTCGGACGATTCGGTCTATCAGTTCTTCTATGGCGGCGACGCGTTGGATGTTACGAAGCAGAAGCACCTGTACCAGTTCGAGTTCATCGCGCGGAACATCGTCTCGCTGTCAAACAAGTATCAGCCTGCGGCGGACGAGGCGGGCGCGGCGATGCTGAATGACAGGGACGCGGTCAAGTACATGAAGAAGGTGCTGAAGAAGCCGGCGAAGAGGGCGCAGTACGAGACCGCTATGGCGAGCTTCAACCCGAGTCAGTATCTTGGTGCGACGAGTGAGAAGTTCGCGGAGAAGCTGTACGCGTATCTCGATAAGAACCCGGACGGGCTGATCGACGTCGACGAGGATGACGAGGGAGACGATGCGAAGTTCAGGCCGTTGAGGAGGCATCCGCTGTTGCATTCAAAGCATCTGCGCACGCTCATGTGGCTGAAGTACATGCGCAGTATGGTCGAGCCTGGCGAGGCGGTCGGTTTGCTCGCTGGACAAGGTGTTGGCGAGCCGTCGACGCAGATGACACTCAACACCTTCCATTTCGCCGGACACGGTGCCGCGAACGTCACGCTCGGTATTCCGCGTCTGCGTGAGATCGTCATGACCGCGTCTACGAAGCCCAAGACACCATCGATGACTATGACCATGGCCAACACTCTTACGCAGGAGGATGTGGATGCATTCTCGAGGAGGGCGAGCCGTCTTCTGCTCTCGCAGATCGTCGACGGCGTCACTGTGACCGAGCGTATGGTCACCAACGGCTCCGCGCGGTCAAAGGTCTTCCGTATCGCCATCAAGTTCTTCCCCGAGGCCGAGTACCGTGCTGAGCATGACGTCTCGCCGCGAGAGGTCCTCGCTTCGTTCGCTGTGCGCTTCCCATTGTTGCTGCGGAAGGAGATTGCGAACGAGATGAAGAAGCTTGAGCTGGACTTGAAGTCCCAGATCAGCGATCTTGGGAAGGGTCGCAACGCGCCGGCCGGTGAAGCGGCGAGGGGTGGAGGCGAGGATGATGATGAGGGAGGAGACGAGGCTGCGGCGGCCGACGATGCGAGTGAGGCGGGCGACGGCGATGCGACTGCCGCAAAGCGACAGAGGCAGAAGACTGAACAGGCGACCTACGAGGACGATAGCGAGGACGATGCGGACATGCCGGACGAGGAGGCTGATTTTGAGGCGGCCTTTGCGTCGGATGGCAGTGCTGTCTCCGATGACGAGGCTGTACTAGCGAAGAAGCCGAAGCTCAGCGCGCGCATGGAAGCGGCGATCAAAGCCACGGAACAGTCCTTCCTCGACTGCTTACCCGCCACCACGTCGTTCAGCTATACACCATCGGGATGCGTAATCGAGCTGAGTTTCAGTGCGGAGTTCCCCAAGCTGCTTCTCGTCGGCATCGTCGAGAAGGTTTGCTTGAAGACGGTCGTGCGCGAGATCCCGGGCATCGCCGACTGTTTCCGCGTTCGCGATACCAAACCCAACGAGCCGTTCAAGGTCACCACCAATGGCTCGAACTTCAAGGGTATCTGGCAGTTCACGTGCGCCGGCGAGGAGGACATGATCGACGCGAGCAGCATGTACTCGAACGATATCTACGCTATTCTCAAGACATATGGTGTTGAGATGGCTCGCGCGGCGATTGTGCAGGAGATGTCGGGCGTCTTCGGCGTGTATAAGATCGATGTCGACCTCAGGCATTTGGAGCTCATCGCCGACTACATGGTAAGCCATATAATGTCTGACGCAAGTGAGCAATTGGCTAATTATGTCCGCAGACGTTCGAGGGCGGGTACAAGCCGTTCAACCGCAAGGGTATCGGCATGCACCCTTCACCGCTGCTCAAGGCTTCTTTCGAGACGACCGCCGCCTTCATCTCGGACGCTACGCTCCACGGCGACTTTGACGATCTCAAGACGCCGAGCTCAAACCTCGTAGTGGGTCGCCCCAGTCTGTTCGGTACGGGCGTCTTCGACGTGGTCGCGCCACTATCATAGGTGGTTCAAAAGTAACATAAACTTATCTGTCATCGCTGCCTGCTGTAATACCTTGTTGTAGCGCTATATTGCTGTCGTGATTGCTTTGGGTTTTATTCGAGTAGATCTTTCCAGCGCCGTCCTAATGGAGCCACATATTGCGGGTGACGCGTGAGAGCCCTCGGGCGCTGTGCCACAAACTCCAGCTCTCGATTGCGAAGGCCGAGACGCTCGTCGACCTCGACTTTCACTGCCGTGAATGGTAGCTGGCAGTCGAGTAGTTTCTACCGACGTCCATGAGCACTGCTCTGCGTATGTCACAAACGAGGTCGCTTCTGGCCGCCTTGAGAACGGCCGGCGTGGGAGGCCCGTTCGGCGCGCGGTACACGCCGCGGACTCTATCGAGCGCTTCTTCGTGTACGCTCCCACCAGCGAGCAGCCCGCTGGGGCACTGTTCTTGAACAAATCTCTGTCTGCGACGACCATCGATGGCTGAACGCTGTCGACGCTTCTTGTTTTATGTCGCTCTCGTCCACATCGCTTCCGCTGCCGTTTCCCCGCCTCTCCAGTGGATCAATCTATCCAAACTTCTTTCCGGCTCTGCCCCTCCCGCTCTCAAAGATGCATCCATTGGCTATGACGATACGACGAGGACGCTGATCGTTTTCGGTGGCGAGTCCGCCGGAGGCTTCCCTCAGGATTCGACTTACCTGTGCGTTGAACGATTCCGGCGCTCCGATGCTGTCTTTGGAAATCACATTTCCTAATTATGACATTCTCCCACCAGTTTAAACCTCGACTCGCTCACATGGGCCTTCCCATCACCTCCGAACGGCCTCTCTCAAAAGCCCGCTGCTCGAAGCCAGGCAGTAAGCGGGGACGATTTCGCGGCGAGTTAGTGCGTATAGGTCTTCCGGCTCGGTTACTGCGGAAGGCTCACGCTATCGCGCTAGTCGCAATGCCCACGTAGTCATCGGCGGGCTCGGAACGGATGGGAAGGCACTGTCCGATGCCTGGGTGAGCTAAACTTTGCTATCACATGGGCGTAAGGTTGAGACTGACCGCGGTATTCAGGTATTCGATTACAATAATGAGTTCTGGGGTTTGGTGCAGCTCTCAGGCAGTGGCCCAACTGTGTATGATGCAGCCGGCGGCAGGGACCTGCGCGTCGCATTCAATCCTTCGACTACCAGCAACACTTTCTATCTCAGTGGCGGAAAGCAAAGCACTTCCAGCGCTCCCACTTCTATGTCCGACACCTACTCTCTCGAAATATCCGGGACACTGTCCCCCAATCTACCAAACAGTACCACGGGTGCCTGGACGAAGCAAGAGATCGGTAAACTCAAGTCTCTGTCGGGTATTGGCAGCACCGTCATTGGGCAGAAGATCATTTCCTATGGTGGATGCGAATCGAGCGCATCCCCCGATGCATCCTGTGCCACCCAAGATGCCTACGTTCTCGACACATCGAGCGGGGGCTCCATTTCCCCCTCAGGTTGCGCCGCGCCGCGCTTAAACCCTGCGATTGTGGCCAACATGAATAGCGCTAGTTCCAATTTCGACACTCAAGCGTTGGTCATGCTGGGAACGTTCAACACGTCGTTGTGGGAAGACGGAAATGGCTTGGAGAAAGGTGGCGAAGTTGTGCGTGGTCTAATCCTGCTTCCGAACGAGGCCCGTCTGAATAGAAACAACAGGATATACTCGACATTGGTGGCGGTACTTGGACTCGAGTGCTACCATCCGGTGATCCGAGTAGCAGTCCTAACTACCCGACACCGCGCCAGGGTGCGGCTGCCCTATCCTTTACGAGTGGACTCGTTGGCAGCTCCCGTTCCTCGTACTCCGATGTCATAGTATTTGGAGGCCAGGATGCGTCAGGGAACTATCTCGACGATGTATGGATACTCCGCACTTATAGTGCATCCATCACATCTTCTGGGCAACATTGGTCTGGGTTTGGCAGCGGCGACCTTCAATCCGGTACATCTGCCAACGGTCAAGGCGTCACCGTCAACTTCAATTCCACTTGCGCTTCGCGCTTATCCACGGCTTCTAGCCCAAGTAGTTCCGCTTCGTCGACTACGGCGAGCGCGTCAGCCTCGGGTACTCCCAGTGCATCACACACTTCGAGTCCATCGAGTTCGCCTGTATCGGACGTTGCCTACTTCCCGTACGACACGGCCATCTCTCACAAAGTCATTGGTCCCATATCACTCGTCCTGGCCCTTCCTGCGGTTATCCTCTACCGACTTTCACTTGCGCCCTCCACCGGCGTTCCGATAGTGGGTTACGGCTCATCAAGTTTACGCGTGGTTGCCTTCGCACTGGGCGCTGCCGCTTATGGTATCGGTGTTGCCGGCTTTGTCCTGGCCTTCACCTCCATTGTCGCCGTACCTCGCCCTTCGATTTCGGTTAAACGTGCAGAGTCTTCACCCACTCTTTTGAAGACAGCACATGGTATCGCCGGCCTTGTCCTCTTCCTGCTTGCATACGGCGTCTTGCCCGTCCTGTTCCTCTTCTCTATCTTGCGCTCGCGTATCGGCGCAGAAGAGCCGATCCAGACAAGCGACGATAAGGCGGGCGTCCAAGCAGAGACAGCCTCGGTGGGCACTGCCGAGAAGCTTATGGGTGTCCGGAGTCCCTCTGCCAATGGCATGAGCACCAGTGGCACCCGCTCAGCTGTTACAACCCCGGGCCTCGAGTTTCCACCCCGTCGGCTCACGCCACAGAAATGGCCGGTACTTCACCGACCGACGCTCAGGACTCGGCGCCACTCGACTAGTAGTGCCGCGACAGAGCCTGATCCAGAACCAGGATCCTCTGGCACATTTGAGGTCGTCAACCGCGGACATAGAAAGCGCCATCTCAGCGCGACCAACACGCTCGCGATGTCGGAGTCATCGCACCGTATGGGACGCGGGCATACCACACGTCGCAGCCTCAGCGATGTTAGCTGGCTGGAGCGGCGTCGCAGTGTCGCTGCCGTTGTAAGTCGCGCTCACGGTCACTTCGATCGAACATCTTCTGACGTGATTATAGAGTGACCTCGATTATGCCCTCTCACAGCTCAATCACAGTCAGCGAAGAACACCGACACCCGGAGCGGGCGCCAGTATGCAGGCTCTCAATGGCAACCCTGCTACTCCGATCTTGCAAGCGCCGTCCATGCCTCCCACAACAGAGATACTTTTACATAGTGCTCTGCACGCGTCATTGCTCGCACTCACTGTCTTCTCCTTGGTCGCCTTGTGGCAACGTGGGCCGATAGTGGCGTTTGCGGTCTTTCTGGCACTTACCGTCATAATTTATGGCGTGTTCATCGCTTTGGCCTGGTACGGCCGACCAGCCAACTCAACACTCACGGTGTTCTTCGCTCGCGTGCGTGGGGATGGTGGATACACACCTGCGCCCGCCACACCGATGCCAGGAGAGTCGCGTCCGCTCTCGCCCGCAGCGCCAGGATCGAGCACTGGACCATATCTGAATTCTCCCCCGTTCAGGAGTGCTGCTTTGCAAGAGGAAGACGGTTATGTCGCGTCTCGACACGGCCACCTCACTTCCGAAGCCGAAGGTGATGAGGATGCCGATACCGACGAGAATGAGGATACGCGTCAGCGCCGTATCGAGGAGGAAATGGCGCGGCGCGAGGTTTCTATCGTTACCGTACCGAAGCGCAAATTATGGGTTGTGAACCCGTCCTGAGGTTCGTGCCTTATATGGACGCTTTATTTCTTACGAGTCTTCATGTGAATCTGTTGTTGTGCTCTGCTTTTCTGCCTACGTCATGCTCTTAGTGTCACTCGCTTCTAGTTCCTGCTCTGATTCTCACATGCACAACCATCTACGTCTTATCCTAGCCCATTGTGTCCCATCTACCATAGATCCTCGGTCACCCTCTCGTCTTTGCATTTGTGTATTCATGCTTATGCCTGTGCCTACTGTAACATACCGACCTCAAGTTCATCACGCGTAACGGCGCCTGATGAACTTGAACCTCGGTAACGCGTAACGCAGGCTGCTGAACTGCCCGCGCGTTACGATCATGAAAATCGCGAAAAAATGATCCAAATATTTTCAAATCGCCCGAAATCCTCGAGAAAAATGAGTGCGAGCATTTATTTACGGCGAGACTGTTGGATACAGTTTCTATTTGGCTCAGAATCCCCGTAAGCTGTCTCATAGTATTGGTTGAGCATGGATCGCCGCTGCGCTGCCCCGCCACCCGGCCACCATGCCGCGACTGCGCCGGCCCGTGCCCACCTGAACCACGGTGACGCGTAACGCGCGCTACTGAACCACGTTTCGACTGAACTTACGACCCCGTAACGCGTAACGCGTCGGAGGACTGAACCTAAGGTCGGTTTGTTACGGTATTCTCGACCTTCTCCCACATACCGCCTCAAAGTCGCGTGCTCGCGTCGTGACTAACCATTCTGAACGCCAACCATCACTACCGTTCCCAGACCCCCCTCGATTTTGCGACGTATTTTATTTCCGCGCTGAGGTCGTGTACAACCGTGTACCCATGATGTCATGCATGTAGTCGACCGCGGCGACGATGTTTCCCGTATACGTAGCGGGATCGACCGGCTGCCCGTTGACCCTGGGCCGCGATAAGTCGGTGGCGTGGATAAGTAGTAGGAGGCTCTCGCACTCCACCCACAGTTTGTTCTTCTTCATCCACGGCCAATCATCCCCCCAGATCCGTGAAGCTTGCTTTGAGTGAACATGGCTCGCAAGGTGCTTATAGGTTTTGGAGTGGATGTCGATGCAGTAGCAGGGTGGTATGTTTATTGCCGACATTTCGAACTTGAACCTGTATCCACCTGACTACCAGGCTGGGCTCGTACGGAGGAGAAGACTCTGTCTCGGACATTTCTAGGGTACGCCCTCATCTGGTTTATATCGGCTTCTTATTGAATTCGGTTCCGTCAGGGTATCTACGCTGGCGAAGTGGGTTCGATGCGTCTCTTGAAGCTGTTCGAACGCTATAATATCAAGACGACTTGGTTTATACCCGGTTTGCCGCCTACTATCTTCTTTACGTGTACGAGTATACTGATTCTGCTCGGTAGGGCATAGCCTGGAGACCTTCCCTGAGCAAATGGCTGCTGTACGTGACGCTGGGCATGAAATGTAGGTCTTCTCTGGAACTGGTCAGACTGGATGGGCCCATGCGCTGACGATACCCCTCTAAGAGGACTACACGGTTACTCCCACGAGGTTTGTGAGAAGTCGCTTGCGTATCCAGTGCTTAATGTGGCCCGTTTTCATCGCGCAGAATCCAGTCTCTATGACGCTCGAACAACAGAAAGACATTCTCGACCACACGTTCACATTGCTCACCAAATTCAATAATGGAGTACCTCCTAAGGGAAGCGTAGCGCCTTGGTGGGAGACGAGTAAAGAAGGCACGGAACTCCTGTTGGACAAAGGAATAGAGTATGGTATGTCTGACTTAACCTAGCTGACTCTGTCGAAACGCTCAATACTCTCTTAGATCATTCCGATATGTGTCACGAGTCAGCGGCTTCGCCCCTAAGCTCTATCAAGTTTGTTCATATGGCAAAGCTCCCAGGCATACTATCTACATGATCAGCATACCTGGCACAAGATTGACTATAGCGCGAAGGCGGAGAGCTGGATGAAACCTCTTCGAAAGGGTAGCCAGACCGGTCTCGTGGAGATCCCGGCTAACTGGTTGGTCGTGCTCTCGTCTTCCTTGGAATTCAGAGCTTGACAAGCGATGATAGGTATCTGGACGACCTGCCGCCTATGATGTGCGGCGATCCCGTTCTAGCAACCTCATCTATCTGCGCATTGACAAACATTTCCAGGTTCATTAAGGCGAGCCAGAACTCGCACGGATGGGTCTGCATTGGGAAATATTCAGGGGAAACTGTATCTGATAGTGGTGCAGGTAAACACTAGAGACGTCGAACAGCTCTGGAAGGATACCTTTACTTACCTTTACCGGTGCGTCTGGGACGGCCCACATCAACTTGAATGATGGCTTAAGAATGTCAGGGAGGAAGAAAACTTTATCTTCCCGATAACCATCCATCCGGTACGCAATATTCTGCTGTGCCTTGTCCCGTCTACTGAAGCGTCTGATATCCCCCCCCTTAGGATGTTTCTGGTGAGTCACGACAACATGGGAATGGTGTTGTACGGTGCTGATCCTAGTGTAATCATCAGGTCGACCTCATGTTCTGCTGATGTTGGTTCGTCAATCGCATCAAATGTCAAATATCTGATCTCACAGCCAGTGTAGGAGAGATTCATTGACTGGGTGAATACGCATGAGCACATTCAGTGGTCCGCTATCTTCACAACCCTTATCAGGACCTGCAACTGACCACTCTACAGGGTACCCATGATAGAGATGGCGCGAGAGTTCCGCGGTCGGGTAAAACCAGTAGAAGGGGCTGCTATGCCGAAGGGTTTTGTCGCGACATGAAAATACGAGATTGCGATAGCTGCATTTCCTTATCTATGAACAAATGCGGATGATCGTCTCGTCGTTCCCTCCGCTACTCTGCTTCCAGAACTCTTGTCACCTGGAGATACTCGCGCGTTCCGCGGTCATCGGACCTGGAATGCGGGCACCCGCGAGCTATAAGAACCAACCGTTTGCAAGCGGGAGCCACATATATGCCATGGGACAGCTAGCTTCGACCATAGCAGCTGCGATCATGTCTGACCCTCTACGTCATCTAGATACGGAGCTGGCGCAGTCAAAAGAGACAGTCGTGGCGCAGACGCGATACGGGCCTGTGAAGGGCAGGCGTGCAGCTAACGGTGCTGCGTGCTTCCTCGGCAAGTTTCGCTTACTTCTGCCGGAAACACGGTCAGCTGAGTTGACGGCGCTCAGAGGTTCCGTACGCGCTTCCCGCGGAGCGCTGGAAAGATCCCCGTCCGTTGCCAAAGGATTATCGATATGAAGAGAAGGAGTACATACGCGAGAGTAGATGTGGGTCCTGGGCGCCAAGCCTTCATACACTTCATGTCTTGGAAATCTCATCCAAATCCCTGCTTCAGATGGATATCAGCCAAGTAGGAACGGACAAGCGGCCGGGTCCGCCCCCAAGGATGGGCTAGGATATGGCGAACCTTCTGAGGACCCGTGAGTATTGAGGGTAGTCTTGCGTTGTGCACACTCTGAGAGAATCTAGCCTCTTCGTCAATATTGTTGCGCCGCCTTCATTCGCGGTGTCAGGAGAGGCACTAACCAAGTACCCCGTCAAAGTTTACATTCACGGAGGGTCAGCGCTATTGATGCAGATATCCGATCATCTTATCTCATCTTCGCAGTTTCCTCCAGTTCGGCTCACCGCACGGCCTGAGCTCTCAAGCGCAATACGTAGCGGCAGAGCGTAATGAGCTCTGGATCAACATTGGATACCGCCTTTCTGCCTTCGGTTTCCTCGCAAGCGCCGTACCGGATGTTCCTGGAAACTTTGGTTTCAAGGATCAGTGGACTGCGCTCGAATGGGTTCGCGCAAACGCAGCATCCTTTGGGGGGGACCCGGATGATATTGAGCTGAACGGTTTATCTGCGGGTGCCCATTCAGTACATCAGCTTCTGCACCACGCTTCGCGTTTGCCAGCGGGAGTGCGCTCACCGTTCACCTCTGCAGCGCTCCAGTCCAATGCGATCGCGACAGATCCGAAGACCCCGGGCGAGCTACAAGCCCAGTTCAATGCCCTCTGTGACGCACTGGAGCTGGATCCCAATGTACAGGATGTGCTCGACACGCTGCGAAGCACATCTTGGAAGCGCATCACGGATCTCATCGACGCCGAAGCTGTTGGTCCGCACGGCACACACGGCACCTTCCGAGGCGCTTCCGACGGGTCCTGGATGTCTGTTGATCCTGGGGCAATGGAGTGGCAACGCAGCGGCGGACTTGCGCGAGGACTCAAAGCAGCAGGCGTACGGGCTGTACTCATGGGAGACCTTACGGAGGAATGGTACCTGTACGCTTTGGCCCATGAGGTGAACAGTACTCACGAGATACGGGCCAACCTCGCACGCTACTATCCCGCAGGTGTCGTGGACACGATGATGGAGTTGTACAAAGACAGAATGCGGGATGATCTCAGCAAGGACGAGCTGTTCCGCTTATTGGGGGATATGCTTTCTGAGGGTCAAGTGCACTTACCTGTGCGCTTGTTACATCGCGATCTGCTGGCCGCGGGCTTTCCTGTTGCCCGGTATCAAATACGCTGGACTCCGGAGCAAGGGCGTCCACTGGGTGCGTGCGCAATAGTGGAACTTGAACGTTGAACAGTCATGGAGGGAATTGACAATCAATAGGCTATGTCACGCATGCAACAGATCGTTCGTTGTGGGCGTTCCGCAAGCCTGCGCTCAAAGAAGACCAGATACCAGTGGCGCGCGAATGGTTGAACACGATCTCCACCGAGTTCGCAAGACTACAAACCGGAGGGGCACCACGCGGGGAGCGGGAAATATTGACACTCAAGGAAGACCGCACTATCGGCTGGACGGAGGATGCACGGTGGGACGAGTACATGCGCGTCAGACGTGCACTCCCAGGTGAAGACGTTTACTCATGAGCGTCCATAGCTCATGATGTGTCATTGAGAGGGGAAGAATCCATGTGAAGGACGCAGGGTAAAACAGCGTAAGAACTTCGGGTATCCAAATTATAGTACAGGCATGAAGTAGATTCTATTTCCATATCATGATGGCGTCACCGTATCCCGCGACAGTTGCTTTTCGTTTTCGGTCTCCGGCTGTTCTCCAGTCCAATTTGTCTCGCGATCCAGATTGGATATAGGCCCAGTGAACCATTTGCGTGCGCTGAGCATCCAAGTGAGCGCTGAAAGCACGAAGACACCGCCTATAATGACGACCGCGTAGTTCATGTCTTGCACACCAGGGTTATCGGAAGACGGGAAAAGCAGGATAATGACGATGAAAGACACCCATAACCAAGCGATAGTGCCTATGGGCAAGAAGTAGCGTCCGAGCGTGAATGGTCCCGGAACGAGCCGGTGGCGGCCGGAGGTCGTGCGCAAGAAGATAGGGGTGGCGTAAGATGTGTATAGACCGATGACGGCGGCACTGAACCAATGTTAGTCTCCCCGATACAACAAATGCCAAAGGCACTCACCCTGCCAGCGAGTTCAGCGCAGCGGTGCTGAATCCCAGAAGACCGCAGATCCCGGAGCCAATGATGACGAACCACACCGCATATATAGGTGTGCGCGTAACGGGGTTAACTTGTTTCAACCAGCGGCTTCCCGGCAATGCATTGTCACGAGCGAAGGCAAAGACGGCTCTCGACGCGTCCACGCCTTGAGCAGCACCGGTCACGAACTGGAAGGAGTATTAATGTCAATAGGGCATAACTGGCCCGGAATAGGCATTCCGCACCTGCACAACGATGATGAAACTCCAGATAGCCAACATCCCCCGCTTTCCCAACACATCAAATAGGAGTTGTCCCATGGGAAGAGGTAGCTCTGATCCCAGTAGTGTCGCGACATCTGCTGTGGCGTACGAGCATGCTATGTACAGGCCCCACCCGAGAATCTGGGTGCCCGCGACCCCAATCATGATGGCTATGGGCGCTGACCATGACGCGCCTGCGACTTCTTCCGATATGTGCGCTGCAGAGTCGTAGCCAGTCAACGTCCACATAGGTGCGGTGAACGCCAGCAGGAACGCAAAGCCGCCTGTGAACCATATGTTACTCGATGCAGCAGGCTATTGGTGATGAACTTGCTCACTATTTTTCCATCCCGTGTTATTCTCAAACTGCGTCCAGGCAACCGATGAAGAGACGCGTTCGCCATTATTCCCCGAACCAACGACAAGCGCCACGATTGTTGCAATACTGGTTCCCACTACCAGCTCCCTTCGTCAGCCCCACCTCTGTGAAGATTGCGAACAGATGTGGCGCACCGTTGACAAGCGTGTAAAACAAATTTAGGCGCGCAAGTATACGCGTGGCCGCAGAGCACACGATGCCATGCGCGAGCAAGATCGCAAGCAGTATCCCATAGGTCGCGCCCGTGGAGAGCACGACGGCGCCGTCCGAGCCGATAGTGATAGCCGTCGTAATCATCAGCGCGCTAGCAGGGCGCCCGCGTATCAGGATTATTTTCACTCAGGGTTGACTGACTGCGCAGGCTCACCAGGTGTAGTCGATCGAGCATACGAGCGTTACCTGACCAGTGATGTTCGCCCATCCGGTAATCCATGCCGCGAGCGCCGAGTAGCGCGGCGGCGCAAGCTTTGCGGAGAAGTAATACAGCCCCGCGCTCGTTCTGTTATGGGTTCAGCTGAGACGAGTGGTCGCATAGGAAGTACACGCACGGCATTGAGGACGTTAGTTCAGCGAGTGAAGCCGCCACAGTCAGTACGAATATGCAGGGGATGAACCAGCCCCAGACCATGCCAACATGACCGCCTGCATTTCACTTAGGTCAGTTCGCGTGCAAGATCGCGATGCTCTTGGTTGCTCACCAGACGCTAGCCCGAACGATAGTGTTGAAGAGACTGACGCCACAATGCCCATAATAGAGAACGCGAATGCGACGGTCTCAAGCAGCTGTCGCGCGTCAGATTGTCGGCAGTGAATACAAGCATGCACATGCCGCCCACATACCGAGAATTCGCGCTTGAACTCGCTCTTGTACCCGAGCTCGGCGAGTCGCGCGTCGTCGGCGGCATGCAGCTCTCCAGAGCTGATACTTGACGCATTCGAGCGCACGCGCACTATTGCGCGCTCGTCAACCTTCTCGCGCGCCATGCGCGTCGTGGTGGTGGGTCGAAAGGTGTGAGAGAGGCTGGTAAGGAGTTGAACTGCAAGACATTGGTTTCAGCGGATGTACATGGCAGTTGACCTTTCCGCTCCCCCGAGCGGAAGCAAACAGCCGTATATGAGACGAGAAGGACTAACCTCTTCTGCCGAAGCGTTAGAGCACTCCGTGGTGAAGGTACACAATCGAATGCGCCCAGAGGAGAAGTGTGTAGCATAACCGTTTTTGTTTCCGGGTAACGGTGGGCAACGGGGCGGAGCCCGGG